ACCAGCACTCATGGACCCCCCTGCCTTCGAGAGCCCTGGCCCACGGGATTCTTCCCAGTAGCTACTTTAAGAGGGCAAAGTCAGCCCTCCTGAGGTCCAATGTTTTGATCCTGCTTATCGCCCTGCTTCCTCCACGCAGGATCCTGAACTCCACCATTTCATGGTCACTGCAGCCGAGTCTACCTCCAGCAGTGTGCCCTTGTGCAAAGGCAGCCAGCCACGGACTGTGCTGTATTAGGAAGCACGAAGCCAGCAGGTAGAGGGAACTGATTGCTCCCGTCTATTCAGCACTTGTGAGATGACTTCTGTAGTACTGGGTTGACCTCCCTGGCTTCCCTTTTGAACAGGCTGTTGATTCTCATGACTATCTTAGTCTCTTTTATTCATCTTGCTGAATGTTGCATACAGTCTTCAGAAGTCATGAGCAATTCTATTAATATGCTGATATCTGTGCTATATTTTGTCTTTTTAAAAAAGACCATGATTGGTTAACTGATAAAAGAGGTAATTCTGCAGTCACATTGATGTGCTCAATACATATGACTTCTGATGGTTGTTTTGTTCCAAATTTGATAGTTGTTAGTGATTTTTGTAGTTGTTTATTCTGATACAGCTTTTGTACTTTTCCAAGTGCATTCTACCATTCAGTAGTTTTTACACGTTTATGTGTAGAATATCTTCTGATAGAACAGAATGGATTGAATGAAAGGAAATAAAATTTTCATGGTTTCCTAGGACCACATAAGCGGTATGTGGAATTTTGTAACTCAGTTATGACAAGGCTGTAATCCTTCAGATACTGCAGTGTTTGCAGATTCAAAGACAGTTATAGTTAAATTCAAATATTAATTTCGGGGTTAATAATGTTAAGAGTGGCAGATTTTTACGGGAGATCTATTTTTAGTGAATGAAAAAAAATTATTTCAGTGCTTCATAACATGTTTCTTTCACATCAAAGACTGTCTGATGTGTTCGCTTCCCCAGGACAGGTCTAAGGCCGTAAGACAGCCAGGAAACAGCAGGTTTGGCTGAGATAAGGGAGGAAGAAATCAGGGGTGGTATTATATGAGGTGGGGAACAAAGGCATTGTCACTCCAGCAGCCCGGACGTGGAGAGTCTGCTGGGACGCCTTAGGGTCATGAGGTACACACAGAAGGTAGTGACATGGAATGCAGAAAATGTTGCTCAGGCATTTTCTGCTAAAAAGAGCAGAAAATCAGGCTCTGAAATAACACATGGGTGGAAAGAGTCTCGCAGTGATGGGAAAAGATAGCATCAGAGGAGGACAAAAATGAGGAACGCATACACGTGACAGTACTCCTGAGCGTATTGCAACCTGGAAGGCAGCCAGCAATACTCTTTGAAAACAAATGAAGCTGGCGCAGGCATTTAGAAAGTGTGGGCCAACAATTCTGGTGGCACCCTGAGGGACAAAATTGCCTGAAATAAGAATGGGAGATTCAGGCAAACTTGAGCTAATGACTGCAGACTGTGACCAAAAGAGAAATAGGTGGGCTGTGCTTGAAGTTCGAGATTGCACCAAAGGTCACGATGAAGAAGGTTTGCATGGTAGGCAATAGGGGCAAGGGGAGAGATTGAGAAGATACATTCTTCCAGGCTCTTTACATGATGTTTGTTACACTTTCAAAACACAGCATTGGTGAAACCTCTCTCTCCTTCCCTGCCAAATGTGGGGTGGACCCTCAACCGGAGTTTGGCCTGCTTTAAAAGGTGAGCAGAGTCACAGAGGAGCGGATGGGAATGCCAGTACGCTGAAGACCCAGGAGATTTGAGAAGTTCATTTTGCAATGGGCACTGTGTTCTCCGGATAATTAGCCCAGGGGATAGTGCACAACTTGCTTGTTAGGTTAAGTACCATAAGGCTTCCTAGTTTTAAGGAGGACAGTGCCAGGTAATAGCATGGAGTCACAACCTATCAAGGGACAGGAAAAAACATCACTCTGTTCTATGACCATTTGCCGCTTACAGGGGAAGTGTTGTTCATCCTTAAGACCAATAAGCATTAAAGGGACCACTGAATTCTGGTAGATCACCACTTGTCCTCTAACTGTGGATATAAATTCCATTCTATTCTATTCTTGCAGAGCAGGCCGAGATGAGGATAGGCTGGAGAGTTGGGCGCAGAGGAACCTGATGAAGTTCAACAAGGGCAAGTGCAGGGTCCTGCGCCTGGGGAGGAACAACCCCTGCACCAGTACAGGCTGGGGCTGAGCTGCTGGAGAGCAGCTCTGTGGAGAGGGACCTGGGTGTGCTGGTGGACAACAGGTTGACCATGAGCCAGCAGTGTGCCCTGGCTGCCAAGAAGGCCGATGGGATCCTGGAGTGCATTACGAGGAGTGTGGTCAGCAGGTCGAGGGAGGTTCTCCTTCCCCTCTGCTCTGCCCTAGTGAGGCCTCATCTGGAGTACTGTGTCCAGTTCTGGGCTCCCCAGTTCAAGAAAGATGAGGAGCTACTGGAGAGAGTCCAGCGGAGGGCTATGAGGATGATGAGGGGACTGGAGCATCTCTCCTACAAGGAGAGGCTGAGGGAGCTGGGCTTGTTCAGCCTGAAGAAGAGAAGGCTGAGAGGGGACCTTAGAAATGCAGGTAAATATCTGCAGGGTGGGTGTCAGGAGCACAGGGCCAGACTCTTTTCAGAGGTGCCCAGCGACACGACAAGGGGCAACGGGCACAAACTGAAGCACAGGAAGTTCCGTCTGAACATGAGGAAGAACTTCTTCACTCTGAGGGTGATGGAGCCCTGGAACAGGCTGCCCAGGGAGGTTGTGGAGTCTCCTTCTCTGGAGATATTCAAGACCTTCCTGGACACGGTCCTGTGCAGCCTGCTCTGGGTGACCCTGCTTCAGCAGGGGGATTGGACTCGATGACCCACAGAGGTCCCTTCCAACCCCCACCATTCTGCGATTCTGTGATTCTCTGATATGCTCCGAGAGACAGGTACTGTTTCTTTGGCTCAGCATCTTCAGTGATACATTCCTGTGGCCGTAGACCATGGCTTACAGAATCACAGAATTTTGACTACTACTGTCAAACCCCATGTGATTTTAATCTATTGAGGTTCAAGTTCTAAGGCAGGGCACAGTGATTGCTCAACAGCTTGTGCACTCTTCAAAGCAAATGAACCCAATATTAGAATGAACAAATTCAAAAGACTCCTGGTATCACACATTGTCCTAATGACTTCCTGTTTGTTGCGCAGAGTAGTAGGATTGTGGCTGGACTTCTGACATATGCAGGGCAGCAGATTCCTGCTAGCAGAAAAGAAGACAGCTGTATTGTTTTGATACACAGAGAGCCCCAGGACAAATTCCTCCCTCTTAGTACTGGAATGAGAGAAGAGAGACAGTTGCACTCAACTAGCAATCCTGCAAAATGCTTTAGTTGTGCTGCCAAGGGTGGTAAAGCTAGGTGGAGTACACGCTACTACAGTGGTCTGAGCTTTCTCAGGGCTGGAAAAACCCGACTGTCGCAGGAGAACCGTATGTCGTACAGATGTCGTTACGAGATGCCAGCAGGCAGTCTGAGCCCGAAGGGTTCTTGGAAATGACCACATGAACCGAGGTGGTGAACTGAATTTCAAGGTAAATTTCACTCAGAGAATGTGGGTTGTGGGAAAGCACCCTTTACCCACAGCTGTGGTGGAGCTTACAACAACCTGCAAGACTAATAATAGTTGGGTTGGAAGCTTGTGTTTCTGTATCCTTAGGTCAATGTTCCAAACGAAACGCAGAAGACTAAGAAGGAGGTAAGACTCTACTGTTAGACCATGATTACTGCGGAAGCAGCAAGACCCAGGCTTTGGGATGCAGCCTACAGATACATGGTTTTAGAGACCACACCTATGGCTGAAAGACCAGGGATACAAAAAAACAAAAACAAAACAAAAAACCCACCAGTGGAGGTTTTGCAGAGATGAAGACCATTGTTAATACTGGGTACAGAGGAGTAGCAGGGAAGGTGGAGGGCCTAAAAGTGCTGGTGTTGCAGATAATTCTTGGCCTGTCAAATCAGAAAACACTTGTTAAAATGAAGATGGCTCATTAGTAAAGCTAAACAATTTCTGCATTATTATGAGCTTCTTGCTAGAGAGTGTTTATGGCAACCACAAGTCCAGTAAGTGCAAACTGCTTTTCTGAGTCTGTTGGGCAGTGGACATGTGTCCTGCTAGGGTGGAAAAGGATCCCCTGGAAGGGACATCCTTGCTATTGCACTCACCATATAGAGCAAGGGGCTGTGCCCACTGTGAACAAGTTCACAATGAGGATGTCTACCAGGAGGTGCCACTGGCAGCACACCTGAGTTATGAGGGGGCACTTGCTCTCTTTACTGAGAAATAATTGAGCAGTTTATTACTACAGTTCATAGAACTTCTGTTTCTGTCTTTGTTTTACAACCCTCCAGTAATGGAAAGCAAGATAGCACCTGAGGAAAAATGCTAGGAAACGCTGCCTCTGGTTGGAATACAACAAGGTGAACCTAGCAGAATCTCCGTACAAGCAAGGAGTTATATATTTATACTTATGTTTGTGTGTGTTTTCAACTTTACTTTGTCACAGGTTTTAGCGGAGAAGCATAGGAAAATCAAAAGGAAGAATAATTAACTAACACCTGAGGGTTTTAATTTCAGCATTTTGGAAGCAATGTTGTTTTTTTTTTTAATCCTCTAGTCATTATCATCTAGAGAAAATGTAAAATTACTAGATTTACTGTGTCACTCCTAACCACGTCTGTGAAGTCTCTACATCGGTGAAATATCCTCAGCTGATAGTGATGGACAAGTTACAAGATAAAGTAATGTTCAACTAAGATAAATCCTTGATACTATTTTTTTCAAAAAAAAGTTAATTGTCATAATTTATGGAGGGAGAAGGAAAATTGCCACCAGCTAATCTGACAAATGTTCCAATCTTCTAAAGAGCCAATTACAAACAATAATGAACTACATTAAGTCTGTGTTCCTTGGCATTTAATAGAATACATGGGAGGAATTCAGGTGCCTGTGTCTACAATGGCAATAGAGAAGACATACTTCCCTGCTAACACAGCTTAATTCAATCAGTATCTGATTTTCAGTTTGCAAAATTTCCTAAATGCTGGTATTTGACCATTTTCACCTGTGAAAAATCAGCCTGTTTGCACAGATTCACTGCAATTCAGATGACAAAGCAGAGCAACATCTAATTTTGCCCATGTCTTCTAACGGGCCTTATCCAGCAGATGTATTGAAGAATATGGCATGCAGCAGTCAAAAGTTAGTTAATTAAAACCAGAAGTGCCTACTTTAAATAACAGGTTATTATGCTAAGAGTACTCCTCGAGGTGGATTCTAAACATTTCTTGCCTGAGGGGACTGAACTGTGCAATTCCCATGTCCTAGAATAATATCCTTAATGGGTATGCAAGAAGCTACTCGCTACGCTTGCTACTGAAACCGTAGTGCTGCCTAGCAGAGGACTCACTCTTCCAAGGGAGCTTGTATCAGGGAACCAGGCAGTGCTGCTGCTCAGTGGTGAGGGGTTCTCACTGGGCAGAAGGGACTCCCAGTGTTGAGCTGAGCATCGTTTCCCTTCAGAAGCAATGCAATTGCATTATACAGGGGTGTTTTCTGCGAAATACTCTATATCAGCAGAATAATAAAACACAATTCAAGCAAAGTAGTATTAGAGCAAAGGTAATACTAACCTCTATTGTGTTATCTTAATATTTTTACCTGCTATTCATTTGGCAAGATATTGCTCTTTAACAAGTCTTTACATTTTTCTAATATGCTTCTATGTTGTCATTACACAACTTGTTTCACAATTCGTTTACACCGTGCCAATGATTAACCTGCAATGCTAATGTTGCAGGTCAGTATCGCTGTGTCTGCTGGCAGATAGCACTGAGAGGGCGGAGAAGCTATTCCTCTAGGCAGAGGGTGAGTTCCTGAGGCACACTTGCTCTAAATACTTCCACGATGAGTGACGTTTTCCCTCCCCCAATGCAGTGGTTTAGCGCTAACAAAGAGGAACAGATGCATGTGAAAGGTATGCTAGTGTACTAAGCAAGCACAGTGTTCCCAGCTTCATCCTGCGGAAAGGTTTGCGCTGCAGTTTTTTTAGTCAGTAAAAGTAGCTTATTTCACCACTTCTGTTACTAACAGAACTAGCTCCAGCTGGCACATACTGTGCAGTCAGAAAAATCTACAGGCCATATTCTAGGGATGCATGTCTGGAGTTTTGGCATCTTTTCCACACCACAGTCTCTCAGCTCAAGGTATTGGTGAAACACCACATCAAGTGGATTAGGAACAAAATCACCCTAGTGCTATAGGAATCGCACTGTTACCCTTTGAAAGAAGAAGTGTGTGGTGGGTTGACCTGGCTGGATGCCAGGTGCCCACCAAAGCTGCTCTGTCACTCCCCTCCTCAGCTGCAGAGGCAGAAAATATAACAAAAGGCCTGTGCGTCAAGATAGGGAGAGATCACTCACCAATTACCATCTTGGACAACAGACTCGACTTGGTGAAATTAGTTTAATTTATTACCGATAAAATCAGAGTAGAATAATGAGAAATAAAACCAAACTTTAAAAAAACCTTCCCCCCACCACTCCCTTCTTCCCGGGCTTAACTTTACTCCCAATTTTCTCTAACTCCTCCCCCCCAGAGCAGCACAGGGGGATGGGGAATGGGGGTTGTGGTCAGTTCATCACAGTTGTCTCTGCTGCTCCTTCCTCCTCAGGGCGGGAGACATTCCTCCATGAACTGCTCCAGCGGGGGTCCTTCCTATAGGCTGCAGTTCTTCACGAACTCCTCAAGCGTGGCTCCTTCCCACAGGGTGCCGTCCTTCAGGAACAGGCTGCTCCAGCGTGGATCCCCCATGAGGTCACAAGCTCTGCCAGCAGACCTGCTCCGGTGTGGGCTCCTCTCTCCATGGGTCCACAGGTCCTGCCAGGAGCCTGCTCCGGTGCTGGCTCTCCATGGGGTCACAGCCTCCTCCAGGCATCCACCTGCTCTGGCATGGGATCCTCCATGGGCTGCAGGTGGGTATCTACTCCACTGTGGACCTCCACAGGCTGCAGGGGGACAGCCTGCCTCACCATGGTCTTCTCCATGGGCTGCAGGGGAATCTCCGCTCCAGTGCCTGGAGCACCTCCTCCCCCTCCTTCTTCACTGACCTTGGTGTCAGCAGAGTTATTTCTCTCACGTATTCTCACTTCTCTCTCCTGCTGCAATTGCTGTTGCGTGGGGTTTTCCATGCTTCTTAAATATGTTAGCACAGAGGCACTACCACTGTCACTGATGGGCTTGGCCTTGGCCAGTGGTGGTCTGTCTTGGAGCCGCATGGCATTGACTCCACCAGACAGGGGGTAAGCTTCTAGCAGGTTCTCACAGAAGCCACCCCTGTAGACCCATGCTACCAAAACCTTTCCATGCAAACCTGATACAAAGCCCTGTGTGGATGGATCAATATTTGATGCAGAGGTGAAAGAAAACCAACTTTCCAGTAGGAATTTTGGTGTTGTCTCAAAAACACTCTATCTGTAGCTGCCTGAAAACATGTCAGTGGCATGCCAAACAAGCTAAAAGATGCAAAACCAGGTCTTTGTGCCTTTCACTTCTGAAATTAAACAAGACCAGGCAAACTCAACAATTTATACCTTTACACTTTAGTGGCTGTAGAAGCTTAACTGTCCAAGGAGCCATCAATGTCCCAACCCACTGAGCCATGCAAGCTGAGCATGAGTCAACAACTGTCAACAACTTTACAGAGTTGTAGCAAAGATTAAAAATTTCAACATGCACTGCATGGGCTAGCTTATCTTAAGAAGAAAGCTACCTAGAGAATAAATAGAAGTACAAACAATAGTCTGACAAGAGCAATGACAGTCTGAGGAGACACTGTGTTCTGTGACATACTGTTAAAGAAAGCACAAAGAGGGAAAGGATGGGAAAGTTAATTCTGTGAGTGATACTGAACAATGCAACCAAGGATGAACAGAAATTAGAGCTTGTAGAGCTCTAAGACAGCAGTGCTGTTATATGCACCATAACACAGGCTTGGCCTTTTTCATAAGGGGATATGGCTCTCATTCTGTTTTACCATCAAAAAAGATGGGACCTGTTGCAATTAATATTCCTTTAGTGTTTCCTATATGGCATGGCAAACCACAGGAGCTAGGTCTCATGATGTCCCCACACCACACGATACTGACAACAAGAGGCAAAAGTGGAAGACAGAGAGCAGATGTAGAGGCTCAAGGCAACAGATAATATAGCAAGCTTTCTAGCTCTCTTGTATTTTTCTGTTTTGTTAAAAAGCAAATTCTGTTGTGCCTAGTTAATGTGGGCTAGTGGTTGCATTTGTATGGAATCAGAAAGTAGTTTGCAAAGGACTTCTGGAGGCCTCTTACATGAAGGGCAAACTTCAAGGGTAGATCAAGTTACTCAGGGCCCCATCCAGACAAGCATCAAGGAATAGTCAGGACTGTCTGCTCCCTTTGGGAGAGAAGCCAAGCACGGTAACAAGGCTGGCAGGGCAGGAGCTTCCCCAGCTGGGGACTGGTTCCACAGTATGCAGATAAGGCAAGCTGGCCAAGCTCTAGATCAACAAAGCCCATGGTGAACCATAGCGGTGATGGAACTGGAGGCACATACACCTATGGCATAAATCACACAGGGACAGAAGGCTAAGGCCTGAACTTAAACAGAGCCCCTCCGCCTACGGGTGTGCAGGTGGAAGTGTCTCAGGTGAGGGTTGTCAG